TGTCCCGCTCTTAACTACTCCTTCAAAGAGTTGACCTTCCTTGAGTATGACCCAATACTGTGCTTTCTTGTTTTGGTAAATAGGAATAGCCCAGAAAGCTAGAAGTTTGCCCTGAGTCTTTGCCTCACATATGCAACATAGTTCTATCTAAAGGTAAATTAATCACAGTATGGTAAATAGTTTTTGAGTGGATGTGCTCTGAAGATTATCCTATTTTACATGCAGAGAGAGAGAGTGAGAGTGAGTGAGTTCTCCGTGTTGGAGGTTAGAGAGCTGGGTGGTGTTACACAAACTTGCATGAAAGCCAGGAATCTGTTCTGGCCTGCATAACATGAAGAACTTCATAAATGTGGGATGGTTAAAATGTTCTGGATGCTGTATTGCACAAAGCAAATGCATAAACAAGAACATTAGAAAATATTTTGGGATTAGAAGATTAAGAGTAATTGGCAAAGGCAGACTGGATGGCTCAGGAGATTGGTAAGGGATCTTGAGCCTTTCACCTCCTCATTAACCAAAGAGGTAAGCCAGGTAATCAAAAAAGATGTTTTGTTATCATTTGCTGTTCCAGTGCAGATGGTTGCTGTAGTTTCAAATAATTTGCAGCAGATAGCAGGGGCCAGAGACAGCTTTTCCTGTGCAAGTAAGTCCTATGGTTGAATCTCCCGTGTGGATATAAGCTGCTGCTTTCCTAGTTTCTCCTGGTGGTATTTTCTTCATGAAGCATGTTTACAGGAGCTGGCCAGTGTTGTCTTGGTATTTTTTATGTTATTTTCTACAGTTTTTCTATTTTCTATTGTAAACAGAAAAATATTTTTAAACTCCCTTAACATAGTAAAATTCAGGACTGAACCCAAAAAGGAGGTGGGAAAAGAGAGAGGGTAGCATTTGGATCAAGGTCAGATCAAATACGAAGCAACATTTTTAAAAAAGGCAAAAGTGAAAATACTTTTCTGTGCCCAAAGACATCAATTCCATTAAATCATTGTTTTTGGTCTGTATAATTAAGGTAATACAGACATATCTGTTGGAAACATATAGTGCAATTATACTGTTGTTGAAGTACTTGCCAACACGTTGTAGAAAATATGTTTTGAAATATTGTCAATTATTATGTTATCTTTTCTTTCTGGCTCTTTTTAGAAATATGCGTGGTGTTGAGGAGGTAGCTTAATTGCATGAACACACAAGCTTCAATCCTTGCAGTAAATCTAATCTCAAACTTTTGAAATTTTACAGTTTTCCACATTAATAGATGAATTGAACAATTAGGAGTTTTGAGTTTCAGGGAGTGCTTTTGTGAAATATATTTCAGTTTAATTCCTAACTGGGGCACGACCTTGAAGATCAATTTTGGAATAATATCAGTGCAGCCATCTCAAATGCAGTAATGGAAAACCTATCTTAAATAGCCCCTTTAGTCTGTGTGATATAATAATGCCGTCTATATTCCCATAATTGGGGTGCTACAGGGTAAATGATAATCTCAAGATCTCACAAGAAAGTGACAGTGAAGGAAAGAACTAACCAGGCGTCCCCTGCCCTTATAGATATGTTGTGTATTAGATTCCCTCTAAAATCCAAATTATGACTTAGCTGTGTTTACTGAAGAAATTGTTGACTCGGAGGTGGTCTTACATTTCCAGCACAAGTTCTATCTGCATTTGTGGCTCTTAAAACTATGTGAGCTGGCACTTTGGGATTGCGGAGTTTTGGTATTGCTTTTGTTTGGCTTCTTCTGCTTTATTTTGAGGAGAAGTGTCCAGTGAAAAAAATAGAATTGTCAGGGCAAAGCAAGTGACTAGGTTTTGCTGGAATCAGAATAAAATATGAGAGTAAATACTAGGTGTAATCACTTCTGATATCACATACAAATGTGAATATTGAATTATAAACTAAACATACATATTTCATTTCCCCCTTCGTCTTTCTCCCTCTTTCGTTTTTCCTCTTCCTGGGTAAGACCAGAGGAAGCAGGAGGGTTGGACTTGATGATCTCTGGAGGTCCATTCCAACCCCTACGATTCTGCGATTCTGTGAGTTTGGTGTTCTAAGGAGTTTGGTGCCCTTACTCACGCAACTGAAAAGTCTGAAAGCCAAGCCAAGACTTGAGCAGAATGCATGAATCCACAGTTTGGCAAAAGTGTAGGCTTCATCCAGATTCAGCTGGCTAAAAGCTGAAACAGCTTCAGTTCATACCATCACTATCAAGTGCTTCTTCCAACTCGTTGTGTGGGAGCCAGTTTCTTTTCATCTTTTTACCTGATGGTCCCCAGGAAAGCTTTAAGTAGGTTTTGTTATTCATGAAAAACGTATTTTGAATGTAATAACATTAATGACCCTGTGTTGCCTTTCACGTACATGCTCTTCTCCTAGGACACATTATTTTGAATTGTGGCAGAGTAGTCACAGAAATGCCACCCCAGTAACGGGTAATCAGTTACATTCTACTGCTGTGAAAAACGTGTTGTTCCCCTCTGCTGTTGCAGTAGCTAAACCTGAATAGTATGTGAGTACTTTGTTCAGTTTTATCCTCTTCTGGTGAAGAGAAGGATGTATTAGCAAAGGACACAAATCTCCTATGTCAGCCACTAAGAAGGATTACCAGAAGCTACAAGAATGCCATGATTTACAGTCCATTGTACAAAATGCTGCACTGATAATTATTTTTCTAGCATTCATAAATAAAAGTAATTAGCAATGAGCAGCAGCAGGGATTATTGTCACTCACGATTTGCAGTTAATGTCTACTGAGTATCTGTAAAATACATTTGCTATCTGTAGGCTCTATGAATGGACAACTAAGAGTAATGAATGTATTTTCTCATTAGAACCACTTAAGGTAAAGCATTTTAGCCAGTTTTCTATGCGTGCATCAAACAAACATATGTATAACTAATTAAATGAGCAAAACCAGATCACCTTGCAACTAAAGCAGTCACTCAGAGAACTGCTGTTATTTTCTGTTTGCCGTGCATGCTTTAAATTGTCTTTCAACAACATTGAGACTTTGAACGTTGAAACAATGTGGTGGATAGAGATCTCAAGTGCCAGAGTAGTATGGAGCAAGCCCAAATTCCACTGTTGTCAACAGTTCAGACTCAGTATGGTTTTGTCTCTAGTTCTTTTTAGGCATAAAATGAATAAAACAAGGTAACTTGTGCAGTACAAATGTTCCACGGAACATTTTCAAAATCAAATTCATGACTTGTTATCGGAAGTTGAAGTCCAAGTTCAAGTAAAAATATTATCGCAGTCACATTCTAGCTATTGGGCTCTCCAGCTCTCCATTGCCTATTAAGATATGTTTCCTAAACAAACAGAAAGCAATTTTTGGTTTATTTAAGAAAAAACCTTGACCAACATATGGGAATTGTGCTTTCTTTATTAAAAAAAAGTGAATCAGAGGCTGCATAGCAGCTTATTATACACAGTTTAGCAGCTGACTGACTCACTATTTTGGTGTTCAGTTCTTATGGGACACAAAGAATAGCGTCTTATTTTCTGAGCTAAATGGCTAAAAGGCATTTATAGTACATGCGTTTAAAAATGTTTACATTTCATGCTCTGTATGTCTGAGTCTTTCCGTATGGTGTGATACTGAATGAACGGCGATCACATGCTTTCCTTGTGGCACAGCTGTTGAGGACAAGAAGAAAAATAACGACACCATTCGCCTAATGCATCACAACTGAATCCTGCAGAAATGTAGTAATACACTTACTGTTGGGAGGATGAAAATCTGACCCTTTGTGGAAATTTTATAGAAATTTTATTTTGCCTTTAAGGCATCTCTTGAATAGAAGAGTTGAGGTTGTGGTACTTGGAAGCTTCCAGCTATGTCCTCGATAGAGCAGCGTAGTCTGGCTGATGGCAAAGGAGTAGTTGGCTGTGGATTTTGGGTGTGAAGAGAAATTATTTTCTGGATACTGTACATTGCTGGCTGTTCAGGAAAATAAGTAGAGCAGTGGTGACACTGGCCAGGAGATTGTTTTTTGGCCTCCAAACCAGTTGTATGGGAGCAGCAAATCTCCCCTGATGTCACTGGGCAGGTGTGGTGCACTCCTGGGAAGGGCAGGACTGCCTGCTCTGAGAACATGCGGCACAGCAGTGTGAACTCTGCAAGCCTTGCTTCCTTCCTGCAGACCATGTTGCTCAGAGATCATGAGAGTAGTTAAGTAGACCTATCTTATTTTTTAATTAGTGATGTCATAGACTTGGGTGTGTTAAGTTTTTTCTTTGAGACATGCCATTTTTCTAGTGTATCTTTTCCATCCTTGTTTAACTAAATTGGGCTCTGTGTATGAGAAGATTTCCTTGGAGAATGTCTGCACTGAGTAATCTTTGAGAAAACCACCTTTCATTTCAGACATCAGTCGCTTTAGCTTTGTTTAAAGGCATGCTGGCAGATACTGGATACTCTTACAGAAATGTTTTTTAGAAGGATTGGTCATGCTCTGACCCAAACAGAATGACTTCACTCTTTTAAATTCAGTTTAGGATGCAATTCTCGTGGGCATTTAAGCATGAATGTCATAAAAAAAATGCAAGAGTATTGAAAGAAGAAGACTGAGAGCTCATTCTGTTCCACACCTGACAGAAACTCTCAGCTAAGTCTTCTGTAAAGAGTATAGAAATTTGGGAGCTGACTGTTGAGTCTTCTGTCAATAACATAACTTAGTGAATTAGTGAAGGAAGCTTCCTTCTCTTGGAGAAATCTGAATTCAGATCATGTTGCAGATTTGTGCCCCAGTTTCTCCAAGTGCTTAGTATTCATGTGGAATTCAGCTGTGCAAAACATAATCTTCATCAGCAGATGCTAAATACACGAGAGTATGACATTATGTTAGTGCAAGCACAGAAATGCAAATGATGGTGTCCTTGTTTAATTTTTAGGCTTATGAACTTATTGCTTTTCTTTTTCTTTTTTTTTTTTTTTCTTCATTGCTGTGTGAGTGTATCTACAGCAGTGTTAACATGACCTTATTCTTCATTCACAGGTTACTTTAGGTGGAACCTTTATTGGAATTGGGCGGAAAACTCCAGATTGCCAAGGCAACACCAAGTACTTCCGCTGCAAATTCTGCAATTTCACCTACATGGGCAACTCGTCCACTGAACTAGAGCAACACTTCCTACAGACTCACCCAAACAAAATGAAAGCAGCCCTTCCCTCCTCTGATTCTGGTAAAACTTCAGAGAAAAACTCCAATAAATCCAGTCCTACTCTTCGACCATGTGATTCTGGAGACTTGGGGAAGTGGCAAGACAGAATCACTGTAAAAGCAGGAGATGATACACCAGTTGGATATTCGGTGCCCATCAAGCCAATAGATTCCGCTAGACAAAATGGTACCGATACAACCAGTTACTACTGGTGTAAATTTTGCAGTTTCAGCTGTGAGTCGTCCAGCTCATTGAAACTATTAGAACATTACAGCAAACAGCATGGGGGAAACCAGTCAGGAAGCCATCACCCAGATATGAATGATAAGCTTTCTAGGGGATCTGTCATTAACCAGAATGATCTAGCCAAAAATGCAGATGGGGAGTTAGTGACAAAGACAGAAAAGGGTGCGAGTGTGGCAAAAAAGAAAGACTTGACTAGCAAAGGAGCAGAGGACAGCATGGTGACAAGCTACAACTGTCAGTTCTGTGACTTTAGGTACTCGAAGAGCCATGGCCCAGATGTAATAGTGGTGGGCCCACTTCTTCGTCACTATCAGCAGCTACACAACATTCATAAGTGTACCATTAAGCACTGTCAGTTCTGTCCCCGAGGCCTCTGCAGCCCAGAAAAGCACCTTGGAGAAATTACTTATCCATTTGCTTGCAGAAAAAGTAATTGTTCCCACTGTGCTCTCTTGCTTTTGCACCTGTCTCCAGGGGTGACAGGAAGCTCTAGAGTCAAACACCAGTGCCATCAGTGCTCATTCTCCACTCCTGACGTAGATGTTCTCCTGCTTCACTATGAGAATGCACATGAAGCCCAAGTGTCTGATGTCAAACCTGAAACAAATACCCTGCAAGGTGCAGATGGGCCGCTGACTCTCAAAGAGAACAAAGAACACTCATGTACCAAATGTGACTTTACCACCCAGGTGGAAGAAGAGATTTCCCGACACTACAGGTACAGTGAAGTTTAAAGTAATTACTAATAGGAATCAAGCACACAGCCACCCTAGTTCCTTATTTAAATGTCACAGATCCCCAAAACTGAGGAAGCTGGAAATGAAAATAGGAATGTGCCTAGATATAAATCTTTATAGCCAGGGTCCGATCCAACATCCACTTCGTTTTGGAAAATCTTCAGCTCAGTCTGTGGCTTTAATTATACATTCAAACCTGCGCAGTGAAGAGGGAGATTTAGGTTTGTGTATAGATGTTGAAGTTCTAGCATATTTGAGGTTTGGTCAACTATTTTCCACCCAGAGTCTGTTAGGTACTATTTTATTTTAGGCTTTTTACCAGAAAGCTGGCATCTTCATTCATTAGGGGAACACAAATGGCTTTACTTTCCAAGATAGACTGTGAATCCTTTCATGCTTTGTAACAGTGCTTCAATGTACTACCTTTTTGTAGTATTTTCCATTCCCAAGTCCAGCAATGCAATAATGAGTTTAAGAGCATTCCACTGCTGTTTTGGTGTTAGTTTCACACTGGGAGCAGACGCTCTTTTGTCTGTTGATGTCATCCTCCAAGATCCTTTTGCAGATGCTTATTTTTGTATTGCTGCTTTACAGTGTCATTCTATCTATTTTAAATGCTAATGTTCCTATTTGGAGGTGGATGCAGCCAGTCTCCTGACTCAGTCTGACACAATGTCATGATGGCAGCCAACTCCCTACTAAACTTCTTGGGCCAGTTCCTGTGCTGTTGTAAACTGGCAGTCCAGTTTATATTGGAGGAAGAGCTGGCTCCCAGACTTTTTAAAAAGCAACAGTGCTGCTGCAGAAGTGATGTGAAATATTAGAAAATCCTGCTGAATATGTTAATAGTTAAGGCTAATGCGTCAACAACAACGGAAAGGCAGTATCTGTCTCATCTAAAAGATCTTTGCATGGAAGCCAGCTAAAATGAAGACAAAAGAAGATGCATTTTCAAAGCTAAAGCTTTGTTAAAAGCTCAAGAAACCGTGCCATGTTTAATAGATTCCAAGACATCCAAAATTAACAAAGACAGACTGGGGCATGATACTTTAATAGAGATTAAAGCTGGGGGCATCCAAATGTTGCCCAACAGAGGGCTGCATTGGCAATGCATCAGGAGTCTATTTAAAAAAAAAAAAAAAAAAAAAAAAGCAGATTGCTCATCTTTAATTTGGTGGTAGGGCCCACGGAGGATTCAGGTCCCAGCATGCAATGCCCCATTTTTGATCCAAGTGGGCCTCAGGGATGTTGTGCGGATTAATTAGTTAATGTTTGTAAACTGCTTTGAAGATGAAAAGTGGTATCTAAGTTCCAAACATTATTATAGCAGCTTTGAGCTGTGCTGTAGAACTCCATAGGCAGCACTTTGTCCGCCGCTGGGGCATGGCACGATCTTTTTTTAGTGGTTAAATAACTGGAAGATTGAAATGGCTCTTTGACTGAAAAACATTTTTATTTTGCTGCAGCTGCTAATTTAAGTTTTAATGAGCACACCTAGTTAAAATCCTTTTTCCCAAGGAAAGGAGAAGCCATGACTTTGAAAACTGTAAGTCTGATACTCTTTCCATCCTGAATGCTCAGCACCACGCAAATATCTCCTGCAGTTGTCAATGGGAAGTGCTATGTGATGTGCTCTTTTGAAAATCAAGAAATGGGTTTAAGCATTTGAATCTCAACTTATTGGTCTAAAAGTAGCCTATTCTGTATAAAAACCACTTGAACAGTGTAGTTCTAAGCCTTCAATATACCACATTATCGAGTACTCTGAGGATGTTGCTTAGTCAAAGCAAAGCCTAAAATCCCCACAACTGCCAGCTTCCTTCCCTTTCTGCTAAGCTGCCCTCCCATCTCCTTTTTAATTTAAGTTTGGTTTCTTTTCGGTGTGTACTGCTGCTCTTTTTTTCCCTCTGTTCATCACCAAAGTTAGTTCAGTTTTTGGTAGATGCTCTGAAATGGCAAATACCTAGTGGATTTTACTGCTTTTATATGCCTCATTTTTCATAGTTTTTACTATACCAAACTGAAGCATAGAGAAACCTCTAATGCATTGTAGCTTCTATTTTTAGTATTATTTTTTCTTTTTTTTGACATATACTTGATGCACATTTCCTTTGCCTTTTTGTATTTTATGAAATTTTAATGAAAATTTTTACATGTATTTTATGAAATAAGGATTACTTCAGATTAATTCAGATTTTATACTGAAGAATTCATATAAAATGTGCAAACTTATTTAATGGGGAATTATGTGACATACACAGAACTGGTTTTCTCTGAGGCTTTGTCAGAGCTTTGCTTTTTTAATTGGGTTTCCTTTTGGCCATACTTAGACAATTTCACCGTGTTTGTTTAATATTTTTCTGTGTCCTAAAATTATTCTTTCCATGTATTTGCAACAGTTACAATTTGCAACAGTTAGAATTTGCAAAAGTGGTTCTTTCCATTTTTTTTCTGCCAGAATGTATGCTAACATTTAGAGCTCATTCAGTATTTTCTCGACATGATTATTTGAGAGCTGTTCAGTTAAATTTGAAGTTAATGAATCACATTGCACTTGAGTTTACTTGTATTTAAACCTCACTAAAATGTGCTTACTCAAACAAATCCCCAGAAGGTTTGTTGGCCTATATTTTCTACTGATTCTGCTACCACTCATTTTCCATTATTTCTCTGAGGTATCAGGTATTCTGTGTGTTCATTGTGAAGTTCAGGCTTTGTTTTTTTTTCAAAACTGTCTGCTGTTCCGATGAGCTAAAAGATGTCAGTACGTGTAGTTTAGATAAAAATCATATAGACTATGTGGGGAAATTTTGTATATCAGACAACTCAGCTTAGAGATTATTTTCCCGTTTGCTCCAAAATAATTGTTTTCTAATTTTTAATTTTTTCTTAAAACAAAAAAGACTTCTTGCAGATTTTTTTTTTTTAAAGTTTGGGATTTTGATTTAAGTGTGGGAAAACAGTACAGTTTCTCATTTTTGCAAAAAATATTTGTTTTTCCTTGAAAATCCTGAATGTCAAAAAAGTCTTAACAGAAAACATTTGATCAGTGCTAATGGTAATTACAAATGCTGTGCTGAATAGTGCTCTAAACTTCTTTAAAAAAGAGAATCTGGTGACTGTTATCCAGTAAACAACTACAAAAGATAGAAAGAAGTTGACTTGAGAATGAGATAAGAGCTTGGGAGTAGACTCACATTTCTAATAAACAGAAATTCTTTTTGCAAATGAAACTGATTGCAATTCTGTAGAGTGTTATGTGAAACAATATGTCCCTCTCAGAGGTGAATGGAGACGTAGGGGTATGGGTTAGGCCACAGTGAAGAATGCATGCCCCAGTGCCAGTGATGTGTGACGAGAACAGGGAAATATGGCTGCTGTCACCTTGGCACCAGCAGGCAGCAGAAGCTGGAGAAGGGCCTGGGATGTGCAGGCTGTAGAAATGTGGAGCTGTTAGGCTCCATGAGAAAGTACCAAGGGCAGATGTGTGAAATGAGGCCCAGCAGCTCCTGCTTTTTGGCAGAGCAGGAGCCTTCACTGGTCAAACTACAGCAGCAGCTGTGAGGACCTTTTCCATACTCCTAACATCTTAATTCACTGCTCTGAACTTGTTTGCTCTTGCCAGTAGCTTTTGCTCTCCTTTAATCTCAGCCTTGCTTTCTGCTCTTCCCATTCTCCTTCCCTTTCTGTCCCTCCACTGAGTTTCTTTTCTCGCTCTGTGCTCTTCTCCCCTGTATTTATTTTCCTGTCCCCTCTAGTATGAGTGCAGCACACATCCCCAAAACAGACTTTTTTACAAGCCCATTTCTTCACAAGAACTGCTCACCATTATTATATTCATAATGAAATTCAAAATGTGCAAAGAATTTGAAGTGATATGGCAGTCAGACCTTCATCCAGAATATTTTGTATGCCCTGGAGCATAGGAATGTCTTCGTATCTTCAGGTAATTAAAAAAAAAAAAATTGTTTTGTAGAGGATGGTGTTTTGCAATATTTCAGACTAGTTGTAAGTATGTCAACGAGACTTAATTCACAACTGGCTAGTGTCAGGAATATCATACATAGCCTGTTAGAAAACTCATATGAATAACAAATGTATCAAAAGAGACATGCAATCTCTTGTCTTCAGTCTTCTGCAAGGGAGAGGCCTTTCATTTTGTAGCACTCAATTCAGATATAATAGAATCGTAGAATATCTTGAATTGCAAGAGACTCATAAGGAACATTGAATCCAACTCCTGTCTCTGCACATGACCACCCAAATATCAGACATATGACTGAGAACGTTAGTCCAGACACTTCTGTTTTTCGGTACAAGTGAATGACAGAATTTTGTGAAGTTATCAGAATGTAACAGAGTAGCAAAGATTTGGCTGGAATTCCTTGATGTTTAATCTTGGTATTGGGCCATAAATGCTTTAATGTCCATGAATAATCAAGTATTTGATTTATTTGGTAGTGAAAATAATAATGCTAAGTGGCATCAATGCAGGCTATGTCATTGACGTCCCAGTGCCACATTCAAGGTGGTATCCAGCTCATAGCTTGAACCTGCTCTTAGCTTGCTGGAGTGGTTTATGAGCAAGACCATGAAGAGGAGAATGCAGTTTCCATCTTCATTTACATAATTTTCTTCCAAAGTGAGATTCTCATCACATGCCTCTCCTCTGGCTGCTGATTGGCAGTATACCAGTAAACTATATTGTACTTGATTTCAGAGTTTCAGATGATAAAAGCAGGGTTTAGTTACAAACTTCAATTTAATATCTCAGAAAGATCTTTATTGTGTACTTGGCAAATTTGAACTTTTACAGTTTTTTGCTTAGATTTGGGGAGTTTTGTGTGCAACTCCACTTGTAACCTGAGCCTTTAGAAACATTGACTTGATTTCAATTCTGGTAAAAGAAGAAATAAAAGATTGCCAACTTGTTTCCATGATTGCTACTGATTGGGTGAGGTCAAAAAAATCAGAGATGAAAACATTTTTCTTTTCATGCATTTTTCTGGTAAAGGATAAGAGTTTCTGGTTCTAAAAATGTTTTGGTTACTATTTTAATTTAGATTGTGACTTAGATTGGACATTTCCAAACTTTAACTTGCTTTATGGAGATTTTGGGTAAAACAGTATACAGGATGTGCAAAATAAGATCTATAATGGCAGTGGTAGAGAGAACCTTTTAATACATGCTACAGACATATGTGTCCTGCAATAAAAAGCCTGTTGGTTTATTACCTATGTAAATCAGTCCAAGTCATCTCGAATTTCTGTCAGAGTTTCATAGAAAAACTACAAAATGTTTTATGATTCTCCTTGAATAGATTATAATGTCTGTAAATTAACAAACCTAATTTAAGAAAAGTGATTACAGCAGGGTCTGAGCCATCCAATTCCAACTGTATCTAATACTCTGCATTTAGTTGTGGCCTTGTAAGAATGATGCTGCTCTTGGTGTTTACTGCTCCTGATCAAAACCATTTAGCAATCGTGGGGGGAAAATGAAAAAAATGGCAAGTTAGGCAGAAAAAAATGAGCTGTTTGGAGGTCTGATGTCTGTAGATGAGAGCTAAGCTAGGAGAGGGGCTAGGCATTGAAATAGCCAAGTTAAACAAGAGACACTTAGAGCTAAGTAGCCTCCTGGAAGACTGATAAACTTTCACATGGAGAACATATGGGGTTGAGCCATTAGCCCCAAATGGTGTCTTGTTTAACTTGGCTTTTCAGATAACTAGCCCTTGTCTAACTTGGACTTCTTTGATGGTATCCCACCTTTACAGGGCCGACCCTCCTTAAAACTTGGCTTTTTGTATTTGTAAAATGGTTTTGATCAGATAGCACTCGTCTTTTTTGGTTGAGAAGAGAATAAGGCTTGGTTTAGAGAAGAATTAAGTTGCTAGAGAGGATATATTAGTGTCGCACTGAGAGACAAGCCAATTTTAATAAAACACTAGAATGAAAAAAGAGGAACACAGCCAGAGCAGGATTTGAACCCACAGCTTTCTTTCCCACAAGTAGATTTGGTTGCCATAAGGGTGTATGGAGAATAGCTGACTCTTTTTCACATAAGCGAGTGAGCCCATCTAGTCCCTTAAAATGAATATAAATATGGAAAATGACAAAAAGAAAACTGATATTGGACAAGTGCTAAAAAAGCTTTGATTTGAATGTGTGCTCATGTCTGCATGCTGGCACAACTGAAAGAAAATCGGACAGTGTAAATAACGTATGGTTTGGCTTTTTTGACAAGAGGAAAGAAGGAAGACAGGGGCTTCACTGTAAGTTTGGCAAGTTGTCTCTTCTAAACTATCATATTTAAAAAGGAACATTTTGTGTATCATTCTAGTTCCACAGATACACTGAGAGCTAAATCCTGCTTTTACTGAAGTTAATGAGAGTTTTGCCATTGACTTCACTGAGACCAGAATTTGGCCTCAGAAGAGTGAATTCTAGCAATTTGAGTTATCAGGGCAGTAACACATTTCTTACACAAGTTTTGTTCTGTGTGGGTAGTGAAAGGCTCGGTTTTTAGCCTGGCGAAAGACATTATTGTGGCTTTTGAGTGCACGGGGTGTGGATGTGTGAATGAGTCTGCAGAGAGAATCCATTTGCAGATCGTTTACATTTTGAGGAAGGGCAGGGATGGTATTGGACCCAGGATAGGTACGAGCCTGGTGCAGTGGGGCCTGATGCAGACAAAGAGCTTGGGCCACTTCTGTGCCGTAAACTGTTATACAGAATGGTACATATCTCATAAAAAGTGCACTGTTCATCTGATAGATAGGGTAAAGTAGTAACATGCTGTTCTAATGTAGCAACATATGCTTTACATAATTTAGTAATACTGTACTTTATATAGGCTTCTAGAGTGAAAACAGGAAGGCATGTTATTCCACACTGCTCCACAGGTCTTACCCAAGCATTTCTGTATTTGACAGGAAAACACAGTTTGTATTCAGACAGCCAACTATTCTGCTTTTACTTTAAAGCTGTATCTTTTAAAGTTGCCTCGAAATATCCACAGAGGATAAATAAATGTTATCTGTTGGGTGCAACCTTTCAGCCTTTGATGCATTCCTATCTTAAGTTAACTGGAGTTCCACTCAAAATGGTCGTTGTTAACCAAAAATATCTGAAACAGTTGGAAAGAAAAGGAATTCTTTAAGCATTTGAAGTTTCTAGCATATATTGATATTAATCCTGAGTATTTTTTTTTTTAAATTCCAAAGAAAACTATCCTGTTATAACTAATTGATTTTGGTTGGGAAAAAAAAAAATTACTCATTATTTCTACCACAGTGAAAAGTGCTGAGTACATTCTGGCAAACAAAGAAAGGGAAAAAACAAGCCCAAATCCTAGTGAAAATTATGTGAAGTTTAGAATAATGCAGTGAAGTATGAGTGAACAACAGGAAGCCGTTGCAGTGTGTGAGAGGTAGCAGCAAGATTTTTCCCTACTGTATCAGACTACAAAGCAAACCCGCTGACTTTATTAGAGAGACTCATTCTGTTTATTTATTTTCTTCGTCTTGGTAGGTAAAACCAGCAAGAAGGAAGGGTGAGAGGGGACACACTTTAATGCCCATCTCGTTTTCTTCCAGGAGAGTACACAACTGCTACAAGTGCCGTCAGTGCAGCTTCACGGCTGTGGACACACAGTCGCTACTGGAGCACTTCAACACTGTGCACTGTCAGGAGACAGATGTCACTACAGCCAATGGGGAGGACAGTCACGGTGTTTCGGCTATCAAGGAAGAGCCAAAAATTGACCTCAAGGTCTACAGTCTGATTAATCCAGACCCCAAGATGGGGGAGCCCATGTCTGACAGCATAGTCAAGAGGGAAAAGATAGAAGATAAGGAAGTGCTTAAGGAGAAAGGTTGGACTGACAGTCCCGGTGATGATCTTCGCAACGTGCCCTGGAGAGGAACAGACATTTTGAGAGGGAGCCCATCATACACACAGACCAGTTTGGGCTTATTGACCCCAGTGTCCGTTGGCCAAGAGCAGCCAAAGCCTTTAAGGGATAGTCCAAATGTAGAAGCTGCCCATCTGGCACGGCCCATGTATGGCTTGGCTGTGGAGAGCAAGGGCTTCCTGCAGGGAGTGCCGGCCGGAGCAGCGGAGAAAGCCGGGCAGCTCACCCAGCCCTACCCTGGATCCGGGGATGGCAAGGCCAAGGATGAATCCCAGTCCCTACTGCGGGTAGGAAGCTCTCTTTGTTACTTTCTTTCTTTCTTTTTTTTTTTTTTCTCGTGATTGCAAGTGTGCTGTGTTTAATTAGGCATGCAGAAGATTTCTTTGGATTCAGAGTGAATGCATGGGAAAATAAAAGTAAATATCAAGGGAAAACTGAAAGATTCAAACTTGTAGACTTAAGCTGACAGGTGAACATTCTGATTTATTGGCAGCAAACAATATATATATTGGTGTAGTATTAGTAAGCAAGTGCTTCTACTTTTGCTATTTAGCTCTGATTGAGTTCTGTTTAATCATTCCTGCTAATTGTGCAGGTTGATGATGCATTTGAAGAACGAGGGTTTAGAACCCCAGAAGGCCTCATGTGAACTGTTAATCACCGCTTAGATTTTGAGGTGATGTGACAGTTCACACTTAAGCAAGATTTTACATTATTAAATATGTAAGAACATGAAAACTGACTTAAATATTAATAAAAAGTAACCTCTTTTTTTTTTTGGTAAAACAGCATAATTGTATATCAATTTTGACACTTGTATGGTTACCTTGGAAGCAAAAAGAGGAAAAAAAAAAGAAAAGGGAAGGAGCTTGGGTGATAACGGGGAGAATTTTCATCACACCAAATAATTTGGTGTATTCTGTCATATTAAAAAAAAAAAAGCTGTGATTGCAGAACTTACCAACTTCCTCTTTTATCAAGGTGTATGTTTTCCACTATTGGTAAATTTGAGGTTAGAAAAGCTCTGAAACTGAGGAGCTGGAAGGCGAATAAGGGCCTTTCTCCTGGAGTCACCACTGTATGTTTTCTTGGGGGGCTTCCTGTCTGAAGTTTTAGGAACTGGCAGACAAATCTCACTGGAATGGAAGGGGTGGTCAGCTCTTCTTCTGTATTATCTTTTCTGAGAACATTTATAACCATATTTCATGTAAAGAGAGCAGCATGTCAGAAGAAGATAAAAAGCAAGATAAACGTTCTATTCCTTGTGTGCTGAAGTTGTACGTGTCTGTTTCTGTATACACATGTCATAAAAGCACTTTGAAAATGAAGTCAGTAATCTTAAAATATTACAGTTACTCTAATTATAAAATGATATGTCTGTCACTTAAAAGTCGGCTTGCAGTTTAGGATGACCACAATCCTTTGTGCCTTGCAGAACATGAATAGCTACGGATATCGGATGTTAAGTGTATGAGAAGCAGTCACAGAATGACAAGTTCCCTGTTGCTTGGTTGTGTGTTCATTGTGAATGGCAGGTCTATATTTTTCTCCATGTAAAAATATGCCTAAAAATATATAAATATGTCTGGCTAGCAGTGGAATTTGTGCCGTATGTATGTCACTAGTTACATCTGAGTTCAATTCTTGCTGTGGTTCTTAGCAGTGCAGAGAAGTATTGGCCAGAGGAGCCATTTGTATTTTGCATTATCAGAATACAAATAATTTTATTTTTTGACTACCTAGTAGTAAATGATGATTATGATAGTAATTATGATCTGCAAAAGTAGTATATGTAAAAATCTCTATAAAGATCAAAATTTGCTTGATGACAAGCTTAAAATCTTATGCAGTAAATAAGACCATTATATTATAATGTTAAAGTAAAAGTAAATTAAACAGGGGAAACTGCACACTGGCTGCTTCTTATGCCCTTCTTTAAAATAAGTTCAGTTTGTTTAGAAAAACAGTGATTGAGTTGTCTTCAAATCAGTATTTTTATCACTTCTGGATTTTTAGAAATACAAAGTTTGGAGTTCAGAAATAGGAATTTGCATAGTTTTCAGGAGAAAAAAAGTAGGTTTTTCTTTTTTTATGTGTGGGTAACTGGGTATATAAATTAATTCCTTGCACTTTTAAATTTTGTTAACAAAGCAACTTTTATATGGTTAGTAAAAGGATTTATTACTGGGTTAGGTCTACGCTGATGAGTAAAACCATGCCGACACCTTTCAAAAAAGAATTGCTTTTGTATACAATTTTGACAGCTTTGGTCTTTGAAGTCCATTGTTCCAAGGCTGTGGTTGTCTGGGTCTTTCCTTACTTAGAATATTTTCATTTTTGCTTTTCTTTGAAAATGGGATGAGTTGCCTTTGTCAATTGCAATTTTTAAGAAACAAGACAGGAAGTTAATTTTCTACATCAGCTGAACAGAATCCCTAGATCATTATATTTCACCACTATTACTGAATATTGGAAAATAGTGATAATTGAAACTTGTTGAAGATAAAGGATGATCTGAAGGACAGAAGAGAGAGGAAGGTGAGGGTGTGTGAATCTATGAGTGACATTCATTTTTCCACTGAGATCAGCATCCACTGTTCCCCTGAATCCATGAAAAATACAGAAATCTAGCTGGTGGTTTTTATTCTTCTATTCTTGTAGACAGAATTATGAGATGCAGAGCTTGGACTGAGTAGAGTTAGGAACTGTTCAGAAAAAAGCCTTCCCATTTGGAAAAATAATAATAAAAAAATCCCTACTGTTAGTCAACTCTCACATGATTATGCACTTTTGGGGAAATGTGTTTTTCTACTGTGAAATAGTGGGTAGGAATAGTTACTATTAGGCTAAAATCTGTGCCTTTCTATAAATAAGGGGTTAAGTCAATACATACTTGTGGTATCGTATAATGAATTCTCATGCAAAATACTGTATCCCAGGACAACTGGTGACTAGGAAACAAAACCTGTAATAAAATCACAGTAGACACCTTCATTTTGTGCTTTTGAAAGATCGACACAGAGAAAGCCAAAAATTTGGGATTACTCAGTGAATAAACACTGTGAGAAATGGACTGAAAAAAATTAGCACATCCCTTTGGTTGTGCTGGCTATTCAGTATTTATAGAGTGGTTCTGTTTATTAAGAATGATTTGTAATGATTCAACAGTAGCAGTAATACCATGTGCTTTTCATTTTTCAATTCTCTCATGATGACTGGAGGAAGGGAAAGAGGAGATAATGTTTTTCACATTTTTTTCATACAGATAGAGGTTAATATTGCGAGGCAGGTTTTTACATACTGAGTTTATGACTACGTTTATTTGCAATTTAATAAAATATCAAAGGCAAAACAGATCAACTGGGGAAAGGGTGTATATCTGCAATTGCCCACACAATTCTTTAATGATAATTTAAACTTTTGGAATTTACTTGAAGCGTCTTTCAGGCTTGTGTGTTCAGTAATCTGTTTATGTGCTGCTTTCTTGCATTCCTTCAATGCATGATGATTGTGTTCCCTCCCCAGGCTCTGTGCTACAGTAGATTATTCATGGGAGTAATTAGAGTAGGATTTATTTTCTTTTTAATGGCTAAAAGACTGAATCACTTGTAATCTTTGAGGAGCAGGACATAGTGCAGTGGTGATAGCTTGAGCTCTACATGTGTGCAAGCACACATGTACAGGGGATGCACCTTTCTCCCCAAGAGAGCTTCCAAGCTGTGTGTGTGTGTAACTGAATCTTTCTCAGGGGCTTGGTACACTTCTGCGAGTAGCTTTAATTTATTTTTCTTATTAAAATGTTTCCAGCAGCTGTACTTACGGTGAATCTGTATGTTTTGCAAACGGGAATTAAAAAAATGTACCTCAGCGTGGTACAATGCAGACATTATTTCAGCTCTTCCTTAGAGTAGCTGATTTTCTAGTTTAAAGATTTGTTGATACTGGAAGGTCTATTGAGATGCAAAAATGTTCCTTTTTTGGGTAGCACATTGCCAGCCAGCAGACTCTGGGCCAGGCAGATTGTTTAATGCTTTGACAACGCTGATCTTGGGCAGCAGGAACTTTTTGCTAAACTGATTTTAAATGAAGTGTCCTGTTTTGTTACATGTGGACGCTGCAGCACAAAGTTTTTCACTAAACTAGGAATCGCAGCCTGCTCCTTCGGATCTATATGCAGACCTAGTTAGCCCCCCCAGAGGCGCTGGTAAACACTGCTGCCTCACATCACAGTGCAGCCCATGCAGATGCAGAATAGCATGATGGGTGTGCCCTGCGGGGCTGCAAATGCCTGAAAGCACAGGGAGATAGATGCCAGTGTATTAATTAAAATTCATGCAACGAGTGAATTTGTGTGCCATCGGAGGGAGAGAGTGCGTCAGATTATTGCAGAGGTACTGGTGGTGGTTGTCAGAGAGAGATGGCAGGCTTTGGCAATATATATCCAGCTGAAGTTATGGTAACATTTGCTATGAGCTTTTATTACAAGGGCAAAGGATAAAAACAGCTATGCTATTAAATCAAGATTATGTTGCACCATGATGTGTGGACTCTTCATAGGAAATCACAGCTTTTCAAGGAAGTTTCCATTTACTTTCAAAAGAGTTATTTTTCTTTTTGTCTCTAATATTTACAGTCCTGGTATTTCTTACAGCGTTCTGTCTGGAGCTGTTATATGGCTTTAAATTTGGAGAGAGAGACAATCAGAAGAACTTACTCTCCCACTTTGCATTCTTTTATGTGACTGTTTGTGGCTAATTCTAAATGAGCAACACATACGCAAGTATCAGTAAATTTATATGTGATTTGTTCATTTGATATCACTTAGTAAATACTGGATGCAGTGCCTAGTAGTGAAACATTATTTCTCCTGTTATAAAACACCGACTCCTGCTACCCACAGTTAGATGCCAGATTCCTGCAAAGTGGTAGAAAGGCTGAACTGCCTTTTGTGATTTCCAAAATCTAGGTCCCTCCTAAAGGAATGTCTCCTAAGTATTTCCATGGAAACCACAACACATACAAAGAGCAGAATAACACTATTTGGTAGAACAAATTCTCAGCTACAGAATACTATTTTTCAGCATAGTCAGCATCATCAGTCAATTTGTGTGGATGAGACGGTTGAGATGCTCTTCATTTTGTGGTGCAACAGCTGTGCATGGCTGTCTGGAACATGATTTGTTTTTCACGTTGCTGTTGCCACTGCTGAAATGCACCAATTACCGCCTCGATGTGCTCACATCCACTGTTTGGTGTCCATAAACATTCATGTCAGTGGTTGCCAGTT